GCAGCTCGGACCAGCAACCAAAGACCACACAGTCGACGATGACCACAAACAGCAGCGCCAGCAGCTCCACCCCAGCCCCTGCGCCGCCCAAGGAAACGGACGAGGACATGCAGATCCAGTTCGAGTATGTGCGTGCGCTGCAGCAGCGCATTTCGCAGATCAGCACACAGCGACGCAAGAGCTCCAAGGGGGAAGCGCCCAATCTGCAGCAGCCAACTGTGATAGAAGCGACCAATGTGCTGCAGGCGCCACCAGCAGATGCACAGAGGACAGGCGGTGAGAACGGCACGACTGCAGGCGTGAGACCCAGGAGTGGCAGCTCGGCAAGCAAAGTACCTGAGATACCGACGCTCAACAGCAAGCTGGAGGAGATCAGCAAGGAACGCACTAAGCAAAAGGATCTAATACACGATCTGGTCATGGACAAGCTGCAGTCCAAGAAGCAGCTGAATGCCGAGAAGCGTCTGCATCGCAGCCGGCAGCGCAGTCTCTTGACCAGTGGCTATGCCAGCGGTGCTAGTCTGAGTCCCACACCCAAATTGGCTGCAGCCAGCAGCTTCGGCGATGCCAACTGCAGCAGCCAGGCGCACTACCATGTCTCGACAGCTGCCGAGCAGCCGCCCAGCCGGCCAAGCCAGCCACCGAATGACGTTTTCGTGCAGCCCAATCCGCTACAAAAGTCCGCAACTGCATCCTATGTATCGCCCTATCGCACAAAGCAGCCAGCGTTGCGCACAGCAGATCTTTACAAGTCGCGTCCCTTTAGCGAGCACATCGATGCGGAGCAATTGAGTCTTCTGGAGCGTCATAAGCTCAATAAAACGGCCTCGTTCAGCTACGGCAAAGTGGATGAGCTGACAACACCCAATGCGCCAGTGCGTCCGCATCGCAACGGCAACCATGGTCAAGGTCAGCGACAGATGGATCAAGCTGTCGATGTGGGCATCTCTTCAACGTCCACAGAGAATCTGCGCAGCGAGGCGAGAGCCCGTGCACGCCTAAAGTCCAACACAGAACTGGGCCTCAGTCCCGAGGAGAAGATGCAATTACTACGCAAGCGACTACACTACGAACAGAACAGCGCCATTAAGGCGAAGCAGCAGGATGCAGTCGCTGGCGACCTCACGGCACGTGCTCGAAAAATGAGCGCATCCAAGAGTGTCAACGATCTGGCCTACATGGTTACCCATGGCCAACAGCAGCCACTGCGCCTGGACAGCGAGGCCGTGAGCCAAGCCAAAGCTGCGGACTTTATATCGGATCCCAATTTGGCGGCCAGTATGCAAGATAAACCGCTTCAGAGCAAGCCCAGTAGCAAGCGGCATAAGGATCCAGAACGTCGCAAAAGTCTTATACAATCCTTGTCCAGTTTCTTTCACAAGAGCAGCAACAACTCAACAACCGCCTCGGCGTCCAACAGTCCCAAGGAGCTGGGCGGCGCTGTAGCTGCCTGTCACTCTGAGCATGCAGAGCGTCCGGGCACTAGCAGCAGCGGCACGCCCACGATCTCCGACGCAGGCAGCGGCAGCGGCGGCGGTGGCGTCTTCAGCCGCTTCCGCATTTCACCCAAATCGAAGGAGAAGTCTAAGGTAAGTCTTTGCCACATCCTTAACCCCTTTCAGCTAACTGTGATAAGTTTTCTGTGAATTCATAAAGACGTCATTAATTAATTGTGCATTACAAATTGGGGCTATAAAATCTGGGCTGATTTACATTAATGTTCTATGTACTATGTGTGTCCTTCATCTAAAACAACAAATTCAACTCTTATCAACATTTTACAGTCTTGCTTTGATCTGCGGAATTTCGGTTTTGGTGTAAGAATATTTTTACTCAACTATATACTACTATATACTGTTAATAATCTCGAAATTTCATTGATTTGGCATGAGCTATTTATATGTTTCACATTAAAATATTAGACAAAAATTCACATTGCACTAAATTTGACATTTGACAAAAAATTCACAATTTTGATTAATATAAAAAATAATTATAAAGGTATAATGTTTTGGTATGTTGAACATAGTTTTTTTGTTACACATTTTATTATTTCTTTTTTTTTTATGTTTTATAGCGCTAAATTTCACAATGTGTTGTGAAATGTTTTAATTTTTGTTTTCATTTCATTTATTTTCTAACTTTGCTTGAAAGCATTTTTTATATATTTTAATTTTATTTTCTTTTCGCACTTGCAGCTGAATATATTTAAGTTATAACTTGCCTGATACCCTATGATTATATATTTTTAATTAATTAATTATGATTATTTCCTTTATAAAAACGTAAACCATTTCTGGTTTATGGGGCCTGCACTACCTACCTATATGATTCTATATGCATATAAAGATATTATTTTTTTGACATAGGCCTATATTGACTTTACTATGTGTTATAATTCGTTTAAGTTTTTTGGTTAATTAAAAACAATTCTTATTATTTTCAACTATTTTTTAAGCTTTTTGATAAATTTGCATAGACATATGGAAATATTTGGGTGTTTCATAGTAATTTACTTTTATTATTAATATATATAAGTACATGTTGCATGAATTGGTTGAATTGGTTTGGTGTGGTTTCGAATCCAATTTCCAAATTTCCCTTAAATAGTGAATAATGAGGCACGTTGTGTTCTTATATATAAGTTGTTAATAACATTTTGTTTTGAAACTGATGATTGATAACTGAATTGAACTGAAAATTGTTTACATTTTGGATGTTTCTTTTATGCCATTGCTGCCGAACCTTGAACAATATACACAACATACACATAACTTTTAACCAAATATATTTCAATGAAACACAACAATTAGGACAAGGATATGTTCACAAACAATGCAACATTGCCAACAAGCACAACAGCAGCAACAATCACAACTCAAACGAAACACGCCCAAGATTACCTCAATACAACGAACAACAGTCGCTATCGAAAGCAACCGAACACCGAATCGTTCTCATCGTCCAGCCCGCAGCTCTATATACACAATCCCCATCACTTGGCCGCAGCGATTGCCATGGACGACCAGATCCCGCCACCCATACCGCCTTTGCCACTGAATTATCAAAGATCCGATGGTTTGTTAAACTCATTTTATGTAAACATTTCCCAAATCTTTGTCCAATTGATCTCCATTTGATAAGATTAAGTAACTAATACACATTTATTCATATATGTATATACATATTTGTGCGTGATATTTAGATGAAAGCAACGCTAACGAGACACGAGAGCATAAGAAGCAACGTGCCATATCGAAGGCTTCGCGACAGGCTGAACTCAAGCGATTGCGAATCGCTCAAGAAATACAGCGTGAACAGGAGGAGCTCGAGGTGCAATTGAAGGAACTGGAGGCTCGCGGCGTTCTAATTGAGAAAGCCTTGCGCGGCGAGGCGCAAAATTATGAAAAGTAAGTAAAAATACAGCTCAAGTAAACGGTATAAAATTTCAATGAACACCTATTTTTGCAGTCTGGATGCTACTAAGGACAATGACGATAAGCTTTTAAAAGAACTTTTAGAAATTTGGCGAAATATCACAGCCCTAAAGTGAGTATGGCATCAACGAATGCAATCCCTTAACAACAATTGACTAAATAACATATTTTTCATTTCATTTAGAAAACGTGATGAGGAACTTACTATAAGACAACAGGAACTGCAACTGGAATATCGACATGCTCAGCTTAAAGAGGAGCTCAATTTGCGATTGTCTTGCAATAGTAAGTGATAAGAAATAAATCGGTATCTCCATTTAGTATCTAAAATCTTTAACGCTATTGTAGAACTGGACAAGAGCTCCGCCGATGTAGCTGCGGAGGGTGCAATACTTAATGAGATGCTGGAAATAGTGACTAAACGTGCCTCTCTACGACCAACCGCCTCACAGGTGGATCTTACTGCAGCCGGCACGGCATCAAACTCAGCGGACGCGGGCATCACACTAACCGGTCATTCGCATGATCAGGAGGAATCGAATGTAAGTTCTAAGACTCTTTTCTGCATAAATATAAACTAACGATTTTGCAATTCTATTTCAGATTTGAATTTTAAACTTGCCTTGGGGCTTACTGGCTGATGAGATCTGGCAAGGATTTTTACGCCTAAATACTTAAGCAGAAATGTACCAAAAAGCAAAACACAAAAAACAATAACGATAACGATACTAAGAACAGAGAGCTGTAAGATAAACGAGCAAAATATACGCCGAGCGAGCACTCTGGCGAATTAGTTTATAGTATAGTCACTTAAGATATTTTTCAAGAAACGCGCAACATTACTGTATAATAGGAAAAACTATAGAAAACAAGAACTACATAAACAGTTTGCCAATTTTTAAGTTAAAGTTCAGTTAGTTTCGAGCATTATTATACACAAAATCTTGTAGTCATTTAATTTGTGCACCCCGTCAAAATATTTTAATGGTTTGTCTGATCATTGTATGTTGTATTATGTTGTTTAATAAGTTAAGTGTGAAACGTGAAAATGTATGTGCAAATTGTTTATCCTTCTTAAATCATTTTTAAATGTCAACTTTGATTAATATAATTTGATTTGTGTGTCGAGATTTTAATTTTATGATCGCAGTACGTCACTCATCATGCATGTAATTTGCTGCGCAACTAATAACAAAGTGAACACAAAGATTTACACACAAATATTTTCTATACATATTTATATATATATATATGTATATACATAAATATATACATGCATATGTATAATACAAAAGTATAAAAAGATATATTAAGAAGCAAAGCACTTTGCTTTAATGTATGCTAAAAAGTTATTTAAAATTATGACTATTATTTATTTTCTTTAATCAACATATTTATCGAATTTATTATGTAATTTTTTGATTTGTTTAAAATTGAATAAAGATTTATTAATTGTGAGTAACGGACAAATTTAATTTATCAATTCTCCACAACAAGATGGCAACGCCATGCCAGGCAGTGGCAAATTTATCGATTATATTTGTATGGTATCGCGATTCCTCTGCCATTCACTTGAAGTCCATCTCTATTGGGAGGCAGCAAAACAAAGAGGCGACTTCTAAGCGTATATTTACTTGCGAACAAATTTATGTTTTTAGCTTATTTTGAGCAAAATGTCTGACGAAAAGAAAAGCATGAATACCAAAAAAGTTGAACGCTCGGTACGAAAAAAAGCAAGCAACACAGCTTCGCAGCATAAAACGCAAACGCAATCTGCGTCGGCGCAACTCTCAGCCGATGCGGAAATGGAGGAGGAAGCTGTGGGCCAACCTGCGGCTTACAGCATGCGACCAGCATTTGGTGAATCCTTCCCGTTACCAATTGTTAGAAACATTATAAACAGCACAATGGCTGCGAAACTAAAAGGTAACTTGAATTGCAACCCAACAAATAAGCGTTGCTAAGCAACTGCAAATTACAGACAAAATATATGACAAGGACATTGCCAAGATCTGGACACGTGAAATCGCGGATGAGGTGAACCAGCAAATAGCGGCGAGTCCAAAAGTCAAGCGCTACAAGCATGTAGTGCAGGTGATGCTGGGCCAAGAGCTGGGTGCCGGCTCGACCTACTTATCACGTTGTTGCTGGGATTGCGATTGCGACACCTCCGTCACAGAGGTATTCACGAACACTAGTCTGTTCTGTGTGTGCACAGTGTTTGCCACATATCAGTACTGAGAACGGGGGAATCTGAACGTAACTGGAATACTTCATATTTATATGTCAAAGGTATCATAAATATCATGGCTTTTAATTTTTTTGTTATTTGTAGAACACATGTCTTGGATAAGTCTTTAATTTTAATTATTTATATAACATTTATATACATATGTGCAGCCATATGTGCATATTAACTAGAAACATATGTACTATCACTAACTAGAAAACACATGTGCATGTGTATGCGTTGCTTGGTTAATGGTACTATGCACTACCAACTTTCAATGAAGCAATCGCTTCTATAATTCTCTAGAACTGCCTCACAGATCTTTACCAATAAGTAAAGTCATTCAACATTTTGATCCTCTTTTCAAAATAAATCATGTAAAAATGAATCTTAATATAGGCAGGGTAAACAACTAAACTAGTCAATGCTTATCTACTCTAAAAAGAGGAGGCTTTGCACAGGCAGATCTGTTAATTGTAATGTAAGCTAACAGTTTACTGTTCAATCGTGTTCAGACTGATACTAGCACAGCATATATGTACATATGTTCATGTGAGAAAGGAACTATAAGCAGGGAGAGAAGAGTGAGCTAGGTCATTAATTTGATTCCTTCTATGATTGTCATGTGCGCCGCTCGTTGAGAACGGTATGGAACAATGGAGTCAACGTCTGTGTTATTTTTTTGAAGAGAACCAATTAAACAGTTCTCAGTTAAATAAACATTTGAGTATTTATTACCTATTTTAAAGTTAATTAAATGTTCCATATAATTAACTACCATTTTACAGCTGATAAAGTTCTTACCCAATACAGAAGATATTGACAACTAAACATGAGTATTTCACTCTCTTGTGTAGACACATATAAACAACGTATGTTACTATATTAAAATAACTAAATAATTAAAACCAAAACCTATCAATTTAATCAATAAACGAAATTTGTTATCTAGCTTTAAGTACTTGAAAAGCTCATGATAGTAAAAATCGTATAAATGCGGAATACGACTCGAATCTAGTTTATTTTATGACTGAACGCCACACCAACCGACGCGACGTCTGTAGAATTTATAATGCCGTCAAATAACGATGACTACAATTCGGATGAGTTAGAAGCGCCCGCCTGGCTGAACGAACAATTCTTTCAGGAGGTGTTAGTGGAGCATCTCAAGGAGCCGAGTCTGACAGTGAGTGCAGCAAAGATGTCGCCGGCAAGTGCTAAGGGCGATCACTATGCGAGTGTTATGTTCCGTGCCAACGTCGAGTATTCGACAGAAAAGGGAAAGTGTTCAAAGTCGCTTATCATCAAGATAATGCCAGAGGTGGATGGGCATAAAAAAGAATTCGTTAGCGAATCCAAAATATTCCAAACAGAGATTGAAATGTATACGGAAGTGTTGCCCAGGTTCGTGGCGATACTTCGGGCAGCTGGTGAAGAGACGAAGTTCTGTGCGACCTGTGTGTATTACAGCATGCAGCCACGGCAGATAATGATCTTCGAGGATCTGTTGCCTCTGGGCTACGAAGTGATTCGCAATCGAAATGCCACACTAGACGAGCTGCGGGCCGTGCTGGCAAAACTGGCCAAGTGGCATGCGGTCAGCTTCAAGTTGTTGAAGGAGCACCCAGAAATATTTGACAAGCTACAATATGATGTAACAACTATGCCAAACCTATTCGAACTGGAAGTCATAACCAGCGGGCTGCCCAACTTTATAAATATGATCAGCCAGAAGGACAGCTTAAAGATGTATCGCAAATACTTTGAGCCAATGCGTGAAAATATTCTTAGTCGCTGGCGCGACGTCATACGAGAATACAGGCAGAACCGACAAGCCAATGCATACTATGTTCTGTGCCATGGAGACTTTCATATCCGTAATATTATGTTCAAGGACAACGATTGCATGCTGATTGACTTCCAGATGTCTTCCGTCGGATCCATTGCTAACGATCTGCAGTACGCCAAATATATGCTGTTAAGTAGGGACGACCGAAAGGACAAATGGGATGAACTTCTTTACCATTACTTTGACACCTTTACGAGGACATTATCTAAAATTGGGTATGAAGGACATATGCCCAACCTGGTCGAATTGCGTCAGCAGATTTTTGACAGAAGATCCACTGGTAAGCTCATACAAAACAGCCTTACGATCGTCATTATCTTCGATGTGTGTCTTCTTCAATAGATTACTGCCTGCTCACAACATTTTTGCCTGTTTCGTATAGCATGCGTAAAGGCAAAGACCCCAATGAATTGATGAACAACGAAAAACATCGCTTGGAATTGTATCAAGACAAGGATTACAAACAAGAACTGGAATATCTGCTGCCTCAAATGTTACATTTGGGTTACTTTGAGCCTCCAAAATAAGAAACCAATATCAATAACTAGCAATATATTATTGCTTAACTTTCAAGAGCCTTGTCTATAATGACTACATTGAACACGTTCAATGTTTTATATTTATATATTTAAACGTAATAATAAAGGTGAGATCCGCATCTAATTGCTAGGCAGATTTTGATAGTCTATGGCGTAGACAATTGACTACAAGAATAGATAACAAATAATTGCCAACATTGTATTTCTATCTATGTTATGTACCTTGTCTATATCTTTTTTCATTGAATACTAATGCTTCAAAAATAATATGATTGACTACTATGACGGGTGGGTAAAAGGTTTCTATAAGTTTCCTACCTCCTGCTGTATCTCTACTCTGCTATTAACGCTGCACATGGGTCCAAAAACAAATAGCGAACACGTTTTCGTTCATCAAACACTATATATACAAGTATATATATATTTAACGGATACGTGTCAACGTATATTTATACATATATACGTTTAGACGTATCCGGTTACACCACACTCTTATGCAATTAAATACAAACATACATACATATTGCACGCATGAAAAAATTTCCTTAGTAACAGCAGCGCATTCTCTAATGCAAATCAAATTGGGAATACTAGTCTAAATTTAGCGTCATTTCACAGTCTCCTCCTCCTTGACCTGGGCCTCATCTCCATCCAATTTAGCGGTGTTGTCCGGTTTTTCTTCTATTTTCTGCTTTCCGTTGCTGATCAGCTGCTGGAGCTCGTCTGCCCAGCCCAGTGCCTCGGCCAGTGCCAAGACACCTGCATCGCAGTCCCCTAGGTAAGCCACGTCGCGCGTATTCTTCGGTTTGTCATAGAGTAAAGACTGTTCATTGCTATCCATCCAAGGAGCAAAACTGGAGCGTCCAACGGCATCGCGATTAATAAGGAGGCGAACGCAACGGGGCCCAGCCCGATGGATGAGCGATGCAAAGGGCTGCACCTCCAGCGATGTACCCATGATAATGAGCAAATCACAGTCTCGAAAATCCTCCTCGGGACTGCTGTAAAACTTTCCAGGGAGGTTTTCCCCAAAGAAGACAATATCCGGCTTTATAAGTCCTTTACATTCCTCGCATTTTGGCAGCTCATCTGCGAATATCTTGGCCTTCATCCAGGCCATATCGTATTCCTGGTTGCAATTGAGACAGTGGTTCGTATAAAAGCTGCCGTGTGCCTCAATGATCTTGTGTTCGGGTAGACCGGCCAACCGATCCAGTGTATCGATGTTTTGCGTATAATGACGCTGTAGCAGGCCCTTATCGTGCAGCAATCGAACAAAGTAATGGGCCGGCGTCGGCTCAAACGAGCCGGGATATAACTCTTTGGCCAGTTCAAAGAACGGTGTCGGATTCCTTTGGAAGTAGTCCACATCAAATATTGCCGTCGGATGCGGTAGCTTGTACTTTTTCAAATTGTTGTACAGACCAGAGCCTGGCGATCGAAAATCCGGAATACCCGCAGCTATGTAAATTTGTTTCCAATATTTGTTTAGTAATTAGCACATTAAAAATTGAATTTTAGTGAAATGTTAAACTCACACGTGGAGATTCCAGCACCCACCATTGTCACAATGTTTTTAAAGCCATGTTCGCGCCAGTACGATGATAGACCGTCAAAGGTCAGTTCAGGAATTACCTATAGCAAATACATACACACACACTTATCAAATCTGCATATATTAGAGATAAAGCTCACCTTATCCACAATTGCGTCTTCGTTGTCCGCAGTTCTGCCCGATGCCAAATGAAAAGTCTGTGAAAAGAAGCGACGAATCATATCCATAGTGCCATCTGAAAGTGAATCATTTGACAACAAATTCAACATTTACTTGACTCTCTGTTGTATTAAACCTTCTTCGCTTTGGCTGTCGGAATCTGATTCTACTTGTTTTGTTGTTGCTTCTTCTGTTGCAGCCGTTGTTGTTGCCGTTGACGTCGACGTAGACGTAGACGTAGTCGACGGCTTTATGGGTAGTCCATCTTCGGCGTTCTCGCTTTTGCTGCCATTCTCCACACTGTCATTCATGATGCGTTTGTTAGCACTTAAAGTGTAGAATGGATATATAGCATAATACGTAAGTAATTTTCGTGCTAGTATTTGTATTTTTTGTTTGGTTTGTATGAATATTATTGTTGCCCTGATGTAAAAACGAAGGCCAAGTGCTTGGCGTTGCCACTACGCGTAAACTTCATACAACGTAAAGCTGAATGCTATATAACACGTACAACAATATGGGTTTCTCATTAAAAAGCTGAGCCCGCCACATTTTGAAAACTTATAACCAAATAAGGAAAATACCCCAAGTAAAAACAATTTTTTTTTTTTTTTTTTTTTGAAAATTGAAGTATCATTTTATTTTTATTTTATCATATAATTTTCATTTCGTTTGGTTTGCTTATTTTTAGTACATATTTTCAAATGGCTTTTGTTTTTTTCTCTTCCAAATTTTTCATTTTTTGTTGTATATTTTGGTTTATTGTTTAGAATTAACATATACATTTAACACTTAAATGAGTTCGAAGAAGTTGAATATATTTTTTCATGGTTTTTCACTATTTCATCTGCTTAGATTACGTTAGTATGAATTGTGATGATGACCGATGTAAATGGAGTGAAAGTGATTTTTCGTTTGCTTTCTGTACTTTGTTTGTATTAAGTGTACGTGTGTGTTTGTGTGTGATTATGGATTATGGATTGATACATTTATACACTTATGTAGACACAATTGTATTTAGCATTTAGCTTTATGTGAAAAGTAGCTGAATACTCAAACATTCAACTTGATCGAACTTAGCATATACATATGTAACTGATTTCTATTGTAGCAAAAAAGCGAACCAAGTCTCAATACATGTATGTAAGTTTCTTGTTGTTCTTCCTGTTAAAGATACATATATATCTATATATATATATATATATATACTTCTATATTCTGTATTCTATATTCTGTTGTTGACAGGTAAACAGTTTTCCAGCCTGTGTGTGTACGTCTTTATGTGAGTGCGTGTTAATATACAAATACGCAAAATATATGTATATATTTTGGTATATATATATATATATATTTATGTATACGTACATATAAAAGATTTTACTCGCACATGCAAATATATTGTAGTTGAAGAGTTTTCATTTACTGTTCTCAATTAAAAAATGTATTTTATAGTCTGCTTTCTTTTGTTTTTTTTTTTGTTTTTTAAATATCTGTATTCGTTTGCTGGCCTTTCTAGTTAGTTTCATTTTGGTTTGGTTTGCTTTTTACACGTTTGCTTTGCAAAAAATATAGAATGTATATAATTTTCTTTACTCTTTTCATTTTAGCTTCTGTTCACTTTGTTTTGTTTCCTTTGTGTAGGTACTCGATTCTCACGTAAAATGTTTGTTTTTTATTTTATTTTATAGATCCTTTAAACATCCTTACAATACTTTAATTTACGTTGACTCGTTTCTTGTCTGTTTTAAAATTTGCTGTAGTTTTGAGTTCTGCTTGTTCCACTTGTTATGTAAATACTATGTAGGTGTGTTTGTGTATGTGTGGGTGTATACATATATATCTGCAGCTATCGGTTT